ATTTTGTGTGTGTGTGTATGTGTGTGGTGTATGTGTTTTGTGTGTTGGGTGTGTGTATGTGTATGTGGTATGCGTGTGTGTGTATGTGTGTGTATGGTATGTGTTTTGTGTATGTGTGTATGTTGTGTGTGTTGTGTGTATGTGTGTGTGTTTTGCGGTGTGTGTTGTGTGTGTATGTGTGATGTGGGTGTGTGTGTGTGTGTGTGTGTGTTTTGTGTGGTGGTTGTATGTTTGTGTGTTTTGTATGTGGGGGGGGTGTTGTCACCTTTAATTTTGGTTTTCGGGGGGCGAGGGCTCAGGGTTTCCCGACCCCCCTCTTTAAATGAGTGCTACTAGGCCCCCTTTTCCTCTCTCTCTCTCTCTCTGCTCCCGGGCTTCTCATCCCCGTTTTTTAAAATGTGTTTTGGGTTTCCCGGGCCCCCACTACCTCACTTGGGTAGGTATTCCACTTCCTGAAATACTCTAAGATGAAGAAATACTTCCTAACATCCCCTTTTACTCTCTGGGGGGCTTCAACTTCCCAAATTTTGACCCCCCTTTTTTCTGTTTTTTCCCTTCTTGAAAAATTTTTGTCTCTGTTTCCCCTTGGGCTATTTTCCCCGCAGTATTTTTTTGTTGTTATCATGTCTCCCCCAACCCTCCTGTCCTCGTGTCGTCAGGGGCCCTTTCTTTAACCCTTTTTTCGTTTGGAATTTCCCCTTAGCTCTTTGGGAAATAACCTTTTGCAAACCATTGCATTTCCTTTTAACTTCTTGAGTGCTTAATCAAGTTTTGGGGTTTCCCAAAAAGGGGGATGCTTTTCTTCCCCGTATGGGCCTGACCCTACACGGTATACAGTGTTCCCTTTAACGATTCCTTTAAAAAGGATCGGAACGATATTTTTCCGATTTGCCAGGTGCCCATATGCTGTTGCAGTTATTGGTGGAGACGTGTGGGTTTTATAATTTGCCCCCAAAATCTTTTTTCTTGGGAGGTTTGCGGTTTTGGCCACCCGCCTTTTTACTCCCTCTGTGGTCTTCTTTGCCCCTTTCCCCCATCTTCATGGAAATTTGAAATTTTGGGGAGGTTAAAATTTGAGGAAACCCGTTTCTGGACCCGGTTTTCCCGCCTTTTCCAGGTCTCTTTGAAGTCCCACCTGAAACCTCATTGATTTAATTTCCCCCTCATTTAAATTTACTTCCCCTTCGAAGAGGAACACTTTTTGGGGCTAATCCCTTTTTAAAGTCATTTAAAAATTACCCGAAATAGCATGGTCCTTTAAGGGCCGACCCCGGGGGACCAGCCCGTCACCCGGTTGGGCCCCTTGTGATCCTCAAGTACCCGATCGTTGTTGCCCCCCTTGGGCAGGTTTTCCTGATTTTCCCTTGAAAACCCTTTCCCCTTTTACGCGGGCCCGATCCTCTAGTTCTGCACCGTCTCCTTTTGAGGAAAATGTTTTCAAAAGGGCCCTTCCCTTTTTTCAGTCCAAGAAGATGCAATCAACCCCCCCCTCTCTCTCGTGTCTTTTCTGTTAAAATTTACATAAAACTCCCGTAGGTTTGTGCCAGGATTTGCCTTTCCCTAAAAACCTTTCTGGGGTTTGGGGGTTTATACTTTATTCCATTCCAGGGGGCTCCACCAAATCTCCTCCCGATAATTTCTTTATGACTTTGATTTCTAGCACCCCCAGTGACCCCAAAAGGTATAGTTTAGTGCCTCTTTTCTGTCTCCTTTTTTTAAATATGTGTGTGTGTGGTTTTTGTGTATGTGGGTGGGGTGGTTTTTTTGTGAAAATCATGGGTTACATTGTTGTTCTTTTTCTTTCTGGGCCGTTTAAAGAGAAGAATGTTTGTCTTTTTAGCAAACCCAAATTATGATTTAAACTTTGCTTTTGACTTTTATCAGGGTTTTAAATTAAAAAATTTTTAAGGGTTTAAAAAGCTGGTTTAGAATGCGGGGAAAAGGGGGAGTGAAAGGGGGGGAGGGAAAAAATGAGGGAGTGAGCGAAAGGGGGGGAAAGGGGAATGATGAAGGGGGGGATGAGTACAATGAGCTCGGGGGCAAGAAGTTGGGGTTAAAAGTCAGGGTGCTTTAAAAAAAAGAGCAGTGGGAAAAGTGGAAAATTTCGAGAAGGGACGCCACAAAAGAAAAATGTTGAAGACGTTTCCTGGTGAATGTAAAAACAGATTTTTATTTTTAATGGGAAACGGGGGGGGAAACGTTGGGCCTTTTTTTGGTGTGGCCCTCTCTTTTGGGCCCAGCATTTTCCGGGAGCCTTTAGCCTTTTAAAATTGGTCAGGGGATTGGTGAAGAAATACAAAAACAGTGTTTAAAATCAGAAAATGCGACGGAAAAACGTTTTACCCGGGGAAATACATAAAAGGGACCGAGGAATTAAAAAAAAAAAAAAAAAAAAAAGGTGCTCAGGAAGTACAGGTGATGGTGACGAACCCAAAGCTGATGAAGCCACACAGTGGCTTCATCAGTCCGTACAAAGCAGAAAGGTGTGAGGAGAGGAGGAGAGTTCGAGGTGATCAGTCCCTCAGTCTGGAGTCGATGTGGAGGGTTTCAAGTATGATCCCACCTCCTGCTGCTTCGCCTCCCCTGACTACAGTATATAAGCCACGTCTACGGCCCTATGCTGTATATTCTACAAGGTTGATGGACTGAACACATCGACTCCAGGCTGAGGGGACTGTTACCTCAACTCCTCTCCTTACACCTTCTGCTTATATTAAAACTAATGAAGCCCTGTGTGGCCAAACGTTTCCTCAGTAAAGATTCCTATATATTGCCAAAGTTGCTCAATCTTCAACTTGTCGGTTTTTAAACCATTTATCACAATCTGTCAAAACACTCCCAGCATTCTGGGATCTTGAAAATTTAGACACACGTACAACTTCTTGGTATCTTTTTTGTAGCTTTTTCACCATCCAGTGGCTTTATCAATACAAATTTAGAACATAATTTGAAGAAGTAGAATATATACAGAAGATGAGGTAATCAGTCCTCAGTCTTGGAGTTGGTGCGAAGAGCACCGTGGTCGTGGAGATTCTGGAGCAAAGGCAAACAACAAAAACAACAAACAACTTCAGGTAAGATCCATTGGGATGAGCGGGAAAGATGAAAATGCTCTGGAGAGGAGTGTTCTTAGTCATAGAAATAGAGCCAGGGCTTAGCCCAGCAGCTAAGGCGATCGTGGGGCAGACTTGAGAACAGGAATAGCAGGGACTGTTGCATCGAACTTGTTGTGTTGAAGTCTTGAATCTCGAGTAGCTGGCAGCAGGCTAGGTCACATCAGAGATTAGAAAAAACATATGGAGTTATAAGAGTAACTGAGGAGGCAGGTTTGCAATGGAGCCATTTTAGAACTTTTTGAAGCTGCTCCCAGACAGGTGGTATAATTTAGCCTTGTTACTGAAGGTGAAACGTAGAGGCTTGATGAACTCAAAAACTTGGGGGAGTGTTTAAGTGAAGCGGTGATTCACAGGCATACTTGACTGTTCCAGCACCGAGGCTTTTGTAGAGTTCAGTACAGGTCATGGGTGTCAGTATTTGAAGGAGAATGTAGAAAGTAAGGTTTTCCCATGAGGTTTACTGGAGTCGTCGCTATCTTCCTCTTCTGGAATGGGGTTCATTGGGCGAATTCTAAATGGTGGTAGCAGGTAACTGAGGGTCGGACAGGAGCAGTGGAGAGGTGTAATGGTTGTGCAACAGCAGGCTGGGAGAGGTGGGAGACGGTGGTTGAGGCAGCATGATCAACGTTGTCAGCGGTTGAAGTGGTTATAGAAGTTACAGGGCAGTTGCTTGGGCAGGAGACAGGTCTGCAGGTGCAGGTTAAAGTTCAGGGCGTTGGGAAGGATCTTGAGGATGTCTGCGAAGGTGTGGAGTCCGGAAAATTGAAGGCAGGCATGTTTTTTGACGGAATATTTCGTTAATAGTGGTGTTGAAGTGCTGGGGTTTGCTGCGTTTGCAAGGTGTGCTTTCCCACCATGCAGTACAGCCCCTTTGGAGGAAGCCCCGTCGGGGAGTGGAGAAAGGGAGTTGCTGGGCGATTGGTGCCTGTAGATTGCGTGTATTTCCTTGGTGGTGTCGGTCTGTGGTTTGGTTATTGCAGTGTATATCGGTGAATTGGAGGGGGTTCTTCAGAGCAGAGGCAAGGAGTTGGCGCTTATATACTAACGCCAGGTAGAAAGGGACGTGTAGCAGACGAGGGCAAAAGCCATGGTAGGCGGGATTCCCAGTGGAAGTAGGTCAGACCTAAAGAGATGGGTTAGTTGTAGTAGTTGTCGTAGCCGTGAAGTAGGTTATGTACATGTCCTCAGAATCAAGATTCCATGATGTTGCGTGTCTGACAATTTGTACAAGAATGGCATGCAATGCCGACAAGATGATATTTAGACACGTGCAAACTTGGGTATCTTTATTGTAGATACCAGATGTTGCACGTTGGGGTCTAAATATCAGCCTGTCGGTATTGCATTACCATTCTTGTACATCATGGGATCTTGTACAAAGAAATTTTTCAAAACTTGTCCAACCTTTGGACGAAGACGTAATTAGAGTAGTGGATGGTTCCACTATGACCCACCTCCTCCTGCTTCGCCTTACCTGACTACAGTATATAAGCCACGTCTACGGCCGTATGCTGTACATTCTACAAGATTGATGGACTGAACACGTCGACTCAAGGTGAGGGACTGATTACCTCAAACTCCTCCTCTCCTTACACTTTCTGCTTTGTATTGGATGATGAAGCCCCTGTGTGGTGAAAACGTTTCCCCAATAAAGATTTCCGTATGTAGCATAAGTGTCTCAATTTTCTTATGTATTGAAAAATAAGCTTTTAAATCTGATGGTTCAATGTAGAGTTTTTTATAGAGAGAGGAGTCTTAGTGGGTACTAAGAGATACCAGTTCTACCAAGTTCCTACAGCTGCTAAAATTATACTTAAGTTTCCATTGTAATGAAATTATTTTGTGTAGTTTTCTAGTTTTTCTTAAGTGCATTTTTTTTTCCAGGGTGACTCTCCGTTCGGGCGGACGGAAGCCTACTGAAGCGGGGACCAGCTGGGTGAGGGTTCCTACGCCACTGTCTACAAGGGCTACAGCAAGTGAGTCCTCCTCCTTCCTTTCTATTTTTCTTCTCATCTTCGTTTTCTTCTTCAGGATACATGCAGTTTACCCAAAAGATTATCAAAGCTTATTCCTTTGGGGTTTAGCATTGAAATGGGTTGGGCAGATATTTTTGTTACTGATTTTGGGGTTTGGGGACCTGCGTCGTCTTCACCTTGACTTGCAAGATGAGCTACGCAAATCGTGTAAAGATCAAGCCAAAAAGTGGTACCGTTGATGATTCAACGAAGATTGCTCTTGCAACTGTTGTTCAGGGAGCACTGCAAGTTAAATTCAACACCATTTTGTCCCTGAAAGAAGATTCATTGTTGTGTGTCACGATGATGCTGAAGCAGAGAAGCTACTCACTACAAAAAGCCACCACTACATTATGCTCAAGGGTTTACTGTTACATCATCTCCTGCCCTCGGGGCCCAGAAAATCAGTATTCCTTAAAAAACTTGACAAGATTCTGACGTCTCAAACACCTGCAGAACTCAAGACATCCATCGGACGCAAAATACTTGGGCTACTGTTGACAGCATTACAAAAATCCGAATGCATCGTCCATGCTCAAGGTCACCTTCACCGGGCGTCAGCATGGCTGCCACTGCTCTGAACGAAGGTCTTGCTGTCTACTACTACTACATCAGTCCTACCTACATTGAAGCAGAGAGATATCAGTACATCCAACATTGCTGGAACTGTTATTATACCATCATACACCAAGCATGTCCAGTGAAAGACAAGAAGTTCTGCCCCTACGTGGTAGTGAGGGACACACTTCAGTTCCTGCACCGCTGCTACTCCAACACAACCATCGTGTTAAACTGTAAGGGGCAACGACCACCATACACTGGCAGCAAAATGCCTACAAGAAAGGATATTGTGAAGAAAACACAAGATTCAGCAAAGAAAAAACCTATAGCAACACACCAAGTAAAGCAGCAATTGCCCAAAGATACAAGCTACACTACAAAATTACTTCAAGCATCTACTCAGCCCGCCTCCAAAATCATCACTCCTCCAACATGTGGGCGTAACCAAGATCCACTACTGTTTACTATACGCTCACATGCAGAACATGGCTGTACCTGGATCTTTTAACTCTACCATCAACGAGTTTTTTTGCACTAAATAATATGCCATCATTCATATTCCCAGCATCTCCACCTTCGGAAGAAATACTAAAATTCACGAAGGAAACCCTAATCAACACCTCTAGCCAGCAGCTCCAAAAAAAACCCTCAACAACTAGTGACGTCACTCAACAACGTCCAATGAGAAGTCTCCATTGCCTCCACTCCTCAAAGAAAACCGACCAATCAGAAGCCTTTCCACCAGAAACATCCTCTCATTCGTCCATTGAAAATGTAGATGAAAATGTACATTCACAGCACCAACAATACCATCCCCTGACCCAAGATTCGATACTGTACCAGATTGAAGATACCGACAAGTATATTGTTTGGGGTGGAATATCTTTCTGCACCACAGCAAATTATCCTCAAGACATGGAGCCAGCTGAACTCAAATCTCACCTCATCCAAAAAACAGTCAAGTTTGTTGAATCTTCCGACCGTGCTTGTAAAACTGAACTTTCAAGCCTTATAAAGCATGCTGAAAAATGCATCAAAGACCCTCGATATCGACAGTTGTTAACTCGTCTCATGATAATTCCTCTCCAACGATTTAAACGTCTTGAAAATGGAACAATACTCTTCACGGACACTTCGTAAAAAAACGCCACAATTCCAAATAACCACCAAGCCATTATGAAATGACCAATCAACGTTGAGCTCTCCCTTGTCGCCTGCAGCCACCAATCACCATTAAGAAGCAGCAATCTTCCATCCAGCAAGTCAGCACCTGCAGAGTTCCTGTTGTCTCTACATCGTCTTTCGTCATTGTTATTCTGGCTTAGCAGTTGGGTCTAGTCCTGACTCTTCTCTCTTCGACTCAAGACATTCCTCTCACCGTCTATTCTTCGTACTGTCCCCACTTGCCCCTCGCCCCTCGTGGGTCCTTACCTGTGAGTCCTATCGTATCGTCGTGCCTAGTATGGGCCAGTTGGCCTCCTGAAGTGTTCCTGTTTTCGTATCTTCCTCGTGATGACTACGGTCACTCACTCCCTCTGCTTGCTGTATTTACCATCGTGTGCATTACTTGGATTCCTTTTTTGAGAAACGGAAAGAATACCAAGAATACCAAGGTGTTGCACCTGTCTCTCAATCTGTTGGTATCGTAACTTTATTCTAATGATTCTCCACCTCCACCCGCTGTTCTGGCTTTCTGGCCTTCACACGGTTGGTGAATCCGCTCCTCGCCAAATTTATGATTTTGATTTGTTCCATGAGTGTATCTGTCAGTGACAGACATACGTGTTTCTACATCCACTTTCATTATTTTTATTTCATTTTAATTGTATTTTTTACCCCCATCATCCGTCCCTTTCGCACCTCTTTCTGTTCTTTGTTTTCCAGTATTCACATACAGACGAGAACAAAAATACAGCTGAAGCAGATAAGTAGGCCTCTTGGACTATGCTTGGCAGGCGGTATTCGCACTTAACCATTCCCACGCATGTTTATATTCAACACTAGCCATTTGCCACTAAAGCAGGTGTTTACAGTAACTCCTTTACTCCTTGTAGATGAATGGTTCAGAGAACCGACAAGTTGATAAATTAGACACACGTGCAACAGTTGGCAAAACGTTTCCGTAATAAAGATACCCAATTGTTGCACATGTGTCTAATTTATCTCTTTACTCCTTGAGATGGATGACACACATGGAAAGACGACAGTCTTTCCACCACTTACCTCCTTCACCTCCCCCTTGAGCTTTCCCTCTCCCAGAGTGGAAATCAGGGTATAAAGACGGTAATGCAGAGGATATCGTTATTTTAGACGACGCTTCGCTGAGGATTGAATTATCACGTCTGAGACTTGATAGAGCTTAATTAATCTGGAGAGAAACGGGCGAAATACAAACTTGCTTTACATTATGTGTATTCATACACACACACATACACAGACACACATAGACACACACACACACACACACACCTACACACCTACACACCTACACACACACAACAGGCCTAGTGTCTAATCGACATGTGCCTAGGACAAAATGGTAACTAACATACACACACACACACATACACACACACACACATACACACACAACACACCTACACACCTACACACACACAACAGGCCTAGTGTCTAATCGACATGTGCCTAGGACAAAATGATAACTAACACACACACACACACACACACACACACACACACACACACACACACACACACACACACACACATACCTACACACCTACACACCTACACACCTACAACAGGCCTAGTGTCTAATCAACATGTGCCTAGGACAAAATGGTAACTAACACACACATACACACACATACACATGCATACACACACATACACACACATGCACACACACACAGTAGGGACAGCGAGCGCGCTAGTCACGCCATCGGTGCTCCGGGGATTTAAGTGTTTTTGAGGGCTACTAAGTGTTCTGCAAGGGTTGCTAAGTGTGTCAGGGTAGTCAACAATCCTAGAAGTGGTTTTTTTTTTTAATTGCCTGAGCCACACAAGTGTGGGGAGAGCCACAATTTTGAAAGTGATCTGGAAAATAAAAGCGTTGTGGTGCAGGCTAGTGTGAAGGCGGCGTTGCCAAGTGTCACCCAAGAAAGGTAATAAAGTGAAACAATCGTGTGACCAGTGAAAGAAATACAGTGAATAGGGTACATTATTAACGAGAAGAAATTGAGGTGGATCTACGCCAGGACGTACATCGAGCTGGATCTACGCCAGGACGTCACATCGACCTGGACAATCTACACTGCTACAGCTGCACTACAAGTACTGTATCACCTATGAGTGGTTGTTTGGGTGTGGGGTCCAGGTTCCAATTAACCGCCAAGCTGAATGTGAATGGTCTAACTCTATAGCACGATAAAGAATAGGCACTCAGTATTCATACGGTTTAGCAAATGGTAATCCATTGAACAAGGCGATTAACTCACTATAAGCAGGTCGATATAGGAACACTGCAAGGGTGGGAGTCAGGTCACAAGAGGTTGTGGACACAAGCGACAACTGAGAATCTACATTACACTCCAAGCACAAGCCACCTACTTTTCAGGACACATAATAAACCCACACATAATTCGACACATAATTACACACACACACACACACACTCACACACACACACACACACGCACACACACACGCACACACACACGCACACACACCACACACACACCACACACACACACACACACACATACACCCACATACACACATACACACACACACACACACACACACCACACAACAACACACTCACACACACACACACACACACACACACACACATACACCCACATACACACACACACACACACACACACACACACACTGTAAGTGTGGTAAGTCCCAGGAGGTTGGGGTGTCAGGTCACAAGAAGGTGTGGGCAGCCAAGGACCACTGAGACTTACCTTAAACGCACAAGCCACCTACCTTTCAGTACATAATAAACCCACACATAATTCCACACACAATTACACACAAAATTACACACTCACACACACACACACACACACACACACACACACACACACACACACACACTCGTGGAGGAGTCACGCGGTTTGAGCTCGTGTTTTGGTGATAATTTCTGACTGTGCCATAAGGAATAGAGTGTGGGATATAGGCGTGTGCACGCATAAGAGTGCATATAATACCTTAAGCCCCGAAAAAAGGAAATATAAGTGATCACAGAAAAGAAAAAAAGGAAATATTGGCGGAGTGTTTAGTGAGGGCCGTTGGAAGGGTGAACAGTTGTGTCAGGCCTAAATAGTGTTGCCATAATAACGCAGTGGGTTATTTTGAAGAATAAGTGCGACTCAAGACCAGGGAGATAAGAGCTATGTATAGATGTGTCAGTAAATACAGTGAGTGAG